TTGAATCGATTACACAGTTTCATTTGAAATTCGTTGCTCATAGATCTTCAAGAGGGAAAAGCCAGAGAAAAGTAGACAGATGTCTTATTTGCATCTGAGGTTGCACGTGCAGATCACATCCTGGTCACCAGTGTGGAAGTCTGGAACATAAGAAATGTTAAACACTGTTCTGACTCCAATAAGATTAATATTCATTAACATTTTTTTGGATATAGAATTACACAGACAGAAAATCAATCTTTGTTCTTTTACTTCTCGAAGGCTTAATGTTGCTATTCTGGCGAAAAGAAAATCGCATGCGAAAAGTTTCACAGATGGTGCTTCAAAGCCAAAACACAAGTAAAATTTCAGCTAAAGAGAATGAAATATGAATGATAAGTAGAAAACAAAATTATAAAATGATCTAAAATTACCACTCATCTGTGATTCGAAGGACGAAAATCGATGTAATTCATAACTTCTGGTTTGGAAATCTTGAGATAGCGAGTTCTCAAAAATGAAAGTACATACAAACTTTTCACAAGCCCCGTTTTAGCCATATCCAGATGTCACCAATGTAGAATCCACATGATCCTTGTTGTCCATATCACAATAAATATTCTCACTGCACACATAATACACAATAAAAATTAATCTTTATTTAAGACCAGCTATGCGTACTATCCCTCGACAGCCGGTCTGTATTCTCCAAAAACTTCTCCTTAGGGCTGCAATATTTATAAGCAGACAAGTGGACGCAAGGCACGCTCTTTACCACTACAGTCAAAATTCGTTAATCCGGACTCGTCGGGACTGTCCTTTAAAACTGTCATTTCGCTGAATAGTATTCACTGGTTATGTAAGTGTAAATTTTGGCAACATAGACTTCGAATTTTTTCTCATAATACAGTCAAAAGTCTTTTCCGGACTCGTTGGGACTTCAGCAATTCCGGATTATCAATTTTTCCGGATTATAGATCATCAGTTTAAATCTGGTAAGATGGCATGCAGAAATTACAAAATTAAAAATATGAAACCGTAATTTATGAAATAAAGAACAATTATGATCTAAAGGGTATCAAAATTTACAAAAAGAAAAAGCTTAATATTTATTTGTTTACTTTATTAAACATTTCTTTCAATGTAAGTTGCTTCGTTTCATGTGATAATACTTTCTCTTTAATTCTATTAAACAGATATAATTTCTTGTTTAGTTACAAAGTTACGCTGTTCAAGTCCTATAATTGCTGTGTCCGCTGTTCAAGTCCTATAATTACTGTGTTGAGAATACCGACTAATTTGTCAATCGAAATGTTTTCGTTTTCAATAACCTCTGGGTCACTTTCTTCACTATCGGAAGCAAATTATAATGACGAGGAACTTGATTTAAATCATATCAAAGACGGAGTACATCGAGATGAAATACTACACTTAGTAAGGAATTATACGCCAATAAAATAAAAACATCTGCCCTGAAGATAAGGATAGTGCTGACAGATCAACTTCCAATCCGATTAATTGATAAACAGATTTCGGATTTCAAAACATACTTTCGCTTTGTAGATACAAATTACATATTAGTAAATATATATCGGAAATTCTATTTGACATAATCGAAAGTTCAAGCTTACTTTTATGAAATTTCTCTAACAGTCTGGAAAAAATAATAAGCCGGATCCAATTCGAAGATTAAGGAACAACGCAATCTGCAACATTATACCGTCCGTTACACATTAAACGTGCATGCACACAAACATATTCGCAGCCGTAAAGGTCTTACGCGCACTCGTAAACGCCCGTGTGCATGCGTGAACGCGACGCATGCACAGAAAGTTTGTAGCTTTGAAGTCCGGATTTATGGGTGTCCGAATTAACGACTTTTGACTGTATCACCATATATCTCGCAAATTAGTGATAGACATTAACTCAATGTTAAATTAACTTCCCCTGAATTCTTATTTTTCTGGCTGACCACCAAAAAACAATTTCAAGTATAACTTTAACTAAAATTATCTATGTTCGTACAAAATTAGTAACAGTATATTTCGTTTCAGGGGACCAGACTAGTAAATTCTATGCGAAAACTGCGTCTGTAAAAGATTAGTCAACTTCCACAAAGAAGTCAGATCGAAAGGCAGATCTAGAATAGTTTAGGTGCTCAAAATATCGACATTCTCAACAAAGGGACAAAAGTGTAAAGCAGAAATAATAATTTCAAGCACTGCTCCAGTTTCACAAACCAGGCAATGCTTGAAATTATTATTTGGCAACAACCTAGACATATCCAATGATTGTAGCAAAAACATGCAAATCATAAAAAATGATTGGAAAAGAGCAAAAAATATGACTTGAGCATATTTAAATGAAATGTCGAATACGCGATTTCAAAATTAAAGATGAAAAATCACATTTATGTAAATTTAAAATTGTCTTTAATGATTGTGACAAATTGTAACAGTTTATGAGTCTGAGACAAAATACCAGTGTAGTTTAAATGGCACTCGCAATTATAGAAATAAGTGAAATCTCAGCTAAATGTAAAATGTTTACACACAAATAATGAGGCATTAAAGTCCCCTTCAATAATCGAGTGGCTATAACTGCGAACAACGGTTGTCCATCGTTCCATAGTTTTATACTCGTCAACCGAATGTGACAATTTTAAAAGGAAAAGCACCTTTAAAAATTCTTCCCATTTCTTCTTTCATTCCAAGTCAACTGCAGAAACTTGAGTCCGGATTTGAATTCTGGAGAAGGAATGGGCACTTTGTAAGTGTATAGTGTCTGAGGTATTGCTGCACTTAAAATACTATCAAGCCAAAAGATCTACCAGGAGGTAGATTAAAGGAGAAGGTGTCTGGAAGATTCTGCTTCAAAACCTGGACGGAGTTGGACAGATTCATACTGTCATTGGTAAAATACTAACACCTAAGCCAAAGATAAATGCAACCTTTGCCTCTTAACCTCCATAAAATTTGTAAACTTGATTTGATACTGTTGTAAAAAAAAAGCGAGTAAGTCACATACTTAAAATAATCATCATAGAGAGTAAATGTATCCAATATATGATGCTTATGGAATTACCAAGTGAGATTTCAGAATTAGTTAGCATCAATACTAAATTAGTACAGATACCAATTAATTCCAAAATCTGCAAGATGCCTAAGCTTTGTTAGTATCACTAAACTTTTTTGAAAGTTGAATGAAAATACCTACAAATGGTTTATTTAATTAATTACGGCAATGCTTAGGCACCTTGATATAAGCCTAAAGGAAGAGATGCCTTTGCGGAAAACGTTCTAGAAAAAGTGGGCTCGTATTTGAATTACACAGGGGGTAAACCACAAAAACATCCCTGCAACCAGCCCTTTCATCCAAGTCGAATTACCTTGTGGTTAGCTGTCTCACCCCTCACCTACTAATGGGTCCAACAAATGATCAGAACGTCAGATTAAATGCTTGAAATGTCGTGTATCAATAATATGAATATTATAAGCACGAACAAGTATGCATTGTAGAAAGTGTTAAAAACAGATAATGGCAGCAAAAACTCATCATATTTCAGGTAATTCATTAAAAACAGAGACTTCAAGACAAAGAATTCTATAAAAGTACAGAAAAATACATTTTCAAGGCTAATTTTTTTTAAAAATATTTTTTTAAGTATCTGGTTATAATGGTAGGAAAAATAAAAAGGCCATTTATAAAAACTGATGTTACTTAAATGATTTTGCAGTTAAGAACATGAAGCTTCCATTAAGATCTTTATTTTATCATGACTAACATATCCTGTAAATGCAGAACTATCTATTTCTGCAAAAAATAAATTTAAATAAGATATAAAATGAGGTAGGGAAAAGCTGGTGTTATAACGTTTTAGAGATACATTAAAAAATTAATAAGACACATGTTCACTTCTGACCGAAATGCAAGCACTACAACGATTTTTCATGCTGGGTATTAGATTATTTAAAAGTTCCCACAGTAACAAGGCTTATTCACAATAAATAGCCCCTTGAAGCAGAAGAATGGTAGGCAGTTGCAGCAGGGATGCAAGTTGGCCCTTAGGGCATCTCACACATTTTACTGAATTTAAATCTGAAGAATATGAGACCATTCCATCCATTGGATTCATTTATCTTTAAGATAATCAGTCATTTGTGCAGCATAGTAAGGGATGAACATTATGGTCCATTAAGGAGGAAGTTATTTTAGACTGTATCCCTAAATTTGTCATAAGAATCAAGAACCTTCTCTTTATATATTTCAGCATTTATAGTTGCACTGGCAAATCTGTGTAGATCAGTGCGGCCATTCAAAATGATGCTCCCGTACCATGATTCTACCACCTTTGTACCAATGCCTTTCATGGATGTTTCAGGCTTATTCCATGTGTTTTGCACCCTCCCAATTATAACATGTCTGGAATCAGGCTACAAATAAAAATGAGATTCATCAGTAAAGAGAACTCAGCTCCATTTGTGATGATCTCTGTGCATTTCCCAAGCCCATAGCCTTTTTTATGCAGCTTGGTCACTCCTGGTACATCTAGATAGTCGAGTTCCTGTAACTGCAGAGAGCTTCCTTGCAACCTGGTCTGACATCAAATGTCGTATTTTTCTAAGAATCATTTCGAAATAATAGCCTCCTGCAAGTCTCTGTCGTAGCCCGTTTTCAACCTTTATCTGGTTGTCCGTATACATCACTAGTATGATTAAATTACTTCCAGGTTCTTAACATGATAGTTTTGGCGGCTTTTAGGTCTTTACAGCTCTTTGTCAGAGTGTCATGTTTCCATTCACCCAATCACACGCCATTTCTCACCATCAGATGTCTTCTCAATGGCACATATGCCAAAAGAATGGACACAAAAATTTGCATATATCTGGGAAGCAAACATATGTAACAGTTCAACAATGTTTTAAGAACTCTATTAAAGAAGCTTCTAATATTAAAATTGAAACATTTATTCAAAAAGATTAACTGATTGTGTAGAATAATGTTTTGTATGAGAACAAAAGTAAACAGCATAATACTAAAATTTATTTACCTTATGCAAGAATACAAGAATACATAAAATGATTCATATTAACATGCAAAAAACAAGAGAAATTTTTTTTTCTCAATGGGTAGCAGTTTTCTGCTACAAAAGTTTTATATTTTTTAACATTTATACTTCACTGAATTCTAAATACAGAAATTCGATTTCGTCACTTATATTAATTTAACAAGTTTTGCATGCATTCTCATTTTGTTATAAAACTTTAGAGCAAAACAACAGAAATAGATTTCTGTCTCAGTATGGAAAAGAAATGAACCCAAATTTCACAAAAACTAGAAATATAGAAGCTAAACTTCAGCATCTATATTTCTAAGTTTTCATTCAGTGTTTTGGTGAGAACTGTTTTTTGCTACTATATTAGTCGTGGCTGAGAACATGATGCGAAAGCATGAGTACTTCCACATTGTGTAGCTTTTGCAATCTGTTTACACTTATTATGTTGCCATAAGCTAGGCAATTCCACTGTTTTTCCTTGGTTGAAATGAAGGTTCCTGGAAGCATCTATTGCGCCAAAAAACAAGGGATGGAATTGTAAGTAACCCATGAATGCATAAGTGTTGTATTGGCATAGAACAAAAGCACATAAAATTTGTTAATGTGAAAGTATTCTCATACTACCTGTGGCCAGATAAAGTCCCTCAGAAGGCTTTTAATAAGAAGTGGGATGATGCGTTTGACAGTTGTAAACACTATTCATTAATTAGTGATAATTTATTCACTCCTTCTTTAAATATGTAATTACCATGAATACTATTTACTTATAAATATTAATTTTGAATTTCAAATGAATTTATATTTTGATAAAAAGATATAACTTAATGCTGTACTTTCATAAACCTTAAATTAATGCATCGTAGATTTAAAAAAAAAAATTACTTCACTTGCTGAAAAATATCATTGACTCTTTTCTTCAACTAACATGCATTTGCTCTCTATAGATATATTAAATTGATTTTGAAAAGATTTTACATATTAGAAAGGTAGAAAAAACTACATTAACAAAATTCATGCAGTTTACAAATGGTCAATATGCACTTACAAACACATTACACAAACAGCAGCAATACAAAATATCAATAGCATTTTAATTCAGTTATCTTCTTATATCTTTTTTCTTTGGCAATATACCAAGAAATCGTCCTCGAGTCATTTCTTTAGCTGAAAATTAATATATCAGTATCACAAAAGACTAGAATAAAAATATTATTTAAACATAAATTTTATGACATAGTTTATTACCATCTATCTTTTAATAGGCTGAAAAAACAAGGGGCAAAAAATAGGAGCACTTCAGCATTCTGTGACAATCAAAACCAGTGTGTGATAATCAATCATATATCCCTACTTTTTACAAATTTTATCTTCTAAAAATAAAGAGAAAATTTTATCTAGGTATATCAATTTTGAGAGAAAGATTTAAAGCTCTGTTTCTAGAGATTTATTTGGAATACGTAGCAGTCCATTTCTATTACCCACATCCATTAAACATCACCTGAAAAAATATAATGTACTTTATCCTACAATGGTTAACCTTTTGAATGAGAACGTATACATAGATGATGCGAATGGAAGTCAAATAACAATAAATAAAGCTTTAACTATGACTCCAGAATCAATCCACATTTTTAAAGAAGCAAACATGCAAATTCACAAGTGGCACACTAACTTACATGAATTTTGGGTAAAACAAGGCATCATTTCATATGAAAATTCTAAAGTTTTTAATAGAGAAAGTTTTCCATTTAAGGTTTTGTGTTAGGTCAGATACTGATCTGGCTGGAATTTTTGGACCTTTCACTGTTAGAATAAAGTGCCTAATACAGATGATTTGGTCATCATAAATAGATCGGGATAAACCACCGCCTAATGATTTGTCCCCTTAATGGAGAAAATGGTGTGAAGAGCTACATCAAATGGTTGGATTATCTCCATCCCTCATTACTTTTTCATGCTTTCAAATTTTAATACTAAAAGTCTTAAATTACATTGTTTCTCAGACGCAAGAACAAAACCCTATGCTACAGTCATATACTTCAGTTTCACAATAAATGATAAAGAAATTAAAAGTGTCTTTGTCACTTCTAAAAATAGGGTAGACATACTAAAATCTTTTGCAAAGGTTAGAATTAATGAGGGCACTGTTCGCCAAGTTACAGAACAATATTTTGAAAGCAATGAAATTGAAAATTCCATGCTATTTTTGGATACACTCAACAATTACTCATCTTTGAATAAAAAATTGCCTGAAATCTTTAAATCCTTTGTCAAGAATCATGTTTAAGAAATCCATAAACTAAGCTCGTCTCAAGATTAGAACTACTGCTCAAGTGTAAACAACACTACAGACCCCATATCTCAGGGAGCGAAGATTTGGATGACAATAAATGAGCCCATTTGCATGAAGAGTTCACAGTGGCTTTAACTCCCTTCCGACTTTTGGGCAGAATTAGATATTTGAGATATAACAGACAAAGACAAATTGGAACAAAACAAAAATAAAAAAAAAAAAATAAAAAAAAAATCCAGTGATATACATTAACTTGAACGTACAATCAAAAGTACAGATGATCTCTTCTCATATCAAAATATAGAACTTGATGCTAAGAGCTACTGCTTGGACGGCAAGCTCTATTGCAAAATTTAAGAAAACCTGGCAGTATTCAAGGAACTCTTATAGCTGAAGAGTTACAAGAAATATAAAATTTTTGGATAAGATCAGGGATAAATAGAAAGGGTTAGCTCATTTCTTTGTTCGACTCCTCGCCGACGCGAGCCTAATGGGGAAAATTAACAGGCAGTAATCTGACGTCACTGTGATGCCACCTGTTCTGATTTCCCGCATTTAAAACTGTAGTTTCATTCAGCTGCGAGACGATTTTCTAGAGGTTACATATCCCAAATTAATTTTAATCATATATATATATATCTGTTTTCTAATAATGTATATATTTAAAATAATTTTTATATATGTAATTTTAGTCAGTTTTTATTTTAAATTCTATATTGTAAAGTACCATTTATGTAATATGGCTTTTTGTGCTGTAGTAACTTGCCGTAGCACTTACAGAAGTACGAAAGGATGAGATATTTTATTTCATGGGACCAAAGGATCCAAATGAGGTTTTGTTTTTGATGAAAGAATGGATACACAAATGTCAAAGACAAGATTCTGTTAATGCGAAGAGCGGAAAAATCTGCAGCGAACATTTTCTATGCAATGTTTATGAAGATGATATGAAAAATCGCTTGTTTGGATAGCCACAAAAAGAAACTGTTGAAATGGAATGCTGTGTCGAAAGTAAATTATGATGACAATAATAAATCGAAATTGATGATGACAATAGTAAAATCAAATTTTAATGATTTTGAAATAAAACTCACAAATGAAAATCTAGATATTCCTGAATGCCCTAAGTTTAAGGATAAACAAGAATGCATTGATAATTTGAAGAACAAAATAATATCCTTAGAAAATTGTATTAAAGTATTGAAAAACAGAGAAAAGAAAAATTTTAGAATGTTTGTTCAGCGGCAAAGAAGGTGGACGACATCTAGACAGAAATTGGTATCAGAAATTAAAATCTCAAATAGCGAATTTTTTTGGGGGGGGAAGCACAAATCAGAGAATTTGAAAAAATGTCTAAAGCCTATTTTTATAAAGACGCATTACTGAAAAAGAAGGAAAAAAATCAGGTGGACTAGTGAAGATATTTCACGTTGCATTGTCATAAGAGCTCTGTCATCTTAAAGCTATGATTTTTGGAAAGAAAAAAAATTAAGAAAAAAACTGGAATATCTTTACCTAGTATTAGCAAATTAAAGAAATGGTACGCTAAATTTTAGTGTAGTCCAAGAATTCAAAGTGATGTTCTTACTCTAAAGAAGGAAAGAGGCGAATATTTGTATTCTGTAGAAAAAATATGCGTTCTCAGTTTCGACGAAATGCATATAGATTGAAAACTCTGCTATGACTCTAAACTGGACCAAGTTCTCGGTTCTTTTCAAAATGTGCAGTTTGTTTAAATCAGAAGTCTCATTTCGCACTCTGCCTCAAATTACTGAGAAACCACATTTTAGATAAAGGATTTGTTTTAGAAGATGGAACTGTTTTAAATTTTGTTATTATTAAAGAGGTTTTAAATAGAGATTGAGAAGAAATCAAATTATGTCACAAACTAAAACCGAATTATTTAATGGTCAAGGGAAACGAGAGACAAAAAAGTCGCTCCAGAGAAAACATTATTTTCAAAAAGTACCGCAAAAGGTATACTCCACCCCACAGGAAATTAAAAAGCATCTGACTTCTATGAGTTAATTGATAATATCTTTGGTATTATGAATAGTACCAACAAGAATAACAAGTATTTAACAAACTAATTTTGTTAAGTACTTGTTAAAGTTATTCTTATTGTATCCTTTGTAACTAATTATTGATTAGATTTTGTGCTAAATTAGCATTCTAGATAAAATATAATAGTATAAAACATTAAAGTAATTGGCATTAAAAGACTTGCTTCCTTTACTCACACTTTTGAAAAATTAAATAACTGTATTAGGTACTCTGAGTAAAGCCATTTTGTCAAAATTAAGGTAACAATCTTACATACATTTATTTAATTGTAATATAGATATAAGTATAAATTACAAAATTATTTTAAAAAATTATTATATTGAATCGGAAGAGAATTATAACAATTTAAAATTTACAATTAGGCAAAAAATCAAATGTAGGTTAGCAGAAATGTTGCCATATATGTCATATATGTTTAAAACTATGTCAATGTAAAATTGTTTTTTGAGTAAATTTAAATAGCTGCTATTATAGTTATCTTAAAAGCAGTATAAAAATTCTCTCAGTTCACATGCAGATAAAGAAATGATTTGAAATAAACGTTCATTAAATAAAAAAACCTGCAAATAAAAATTGGGAAAAAAAAAAAAAAAAACCACGGAACTTATGTTAAAAGAGTAGCACATTTTATCTATTATTTTAAAATTGAGTAAGTATTATTAAATTTTTTAATGGTTCAGTCTAAAATGCATAAAGCAGTAACATTGTCTCTTCCAAATTATAACTATCTTTCACACACAGCTCATTTCAAACGCTGGTTCAAAATCGCTAATTTTCATGCTGTGAATTGCATCTGCGCGCTCAGTGTCATCATGGCTACGTCATCACTTCTCACTTTCTGCTTCAGAGGGAAAAGCTCTATGAGCTAGCCCTTCTCTTCTAAGTCCTGGATAAGATCTGAGCATAAAAAATGTTTTGTTGAAGAGTACAAATCTCTCAAAGAAGGTAAATTCAACTAATTTTTTTTTCTTTGCACAATTTTCTCTCTCACATTGGTGCAAAAGATGAGATATGATTAGATTTTCTGACTTCTCACTAGACAACATCCAGTTATACTACCTAAAAATTCCAGACCGACACTACTAATTGTATGCAAAGAACGTGAGAAGATAATGCACGCAGAAACTATAACTGTAACCAAAGTTAAATCTCATTTCTGGATGCCTAAAGAATGCCAGTTAGTCAAAAAGGCATTAAAAAGTTGCTTGATCTGCCAGAAATATTTAGCCAATCCAGCACACCAGATAATTTATAGATGCCAAACTACAGCAAAACCTGTCAGTAGTCAAGGCATGAATGGCACTTTTAGAACTGAAAATGCACATATAAAGCATATTTCTTTAATTAACCATTAATTATTACCAATTAATTACATTTGACTTGATATACATATCTATAAAATGGAATAATTAAAATATTTTTAGTAAATTATATGCATATTTAATTAGATATTTTCAGTTTACTCCTTGAGCAGAAATATCACTAAATCTATTACTACAGTATTCAAGCAAATGTTTTAATCACTAATAATCATAAAGGATAATTAGAATCCATAAATCACATATCTTTATGAGGTTTCTGGATTCTAATTTCTACAGGGAAATAATTTTTTAATTGAATTTTAGATACACAAGAATAATACATATAATTATCAAAAAATACTTCTAATTTATTTATAAATTATGAATGCAAAGATTTATGTGTAACAAGCTTAACAACCTTAAGTTGTGAATCAGAGATTTTTTTGTATTATTACTCAGTCCTTTATTTGCCTACATATTTATTTTTTCAACCAGAACTGCTTCACAAGTTTTCATACCTAAATTTGATCAAAATTCCTTTTTTTAAGTCCAAAGGGACAATTTGCCCAGAAGGACTATTAATTTAATTTTGGTATTTTTCATTGATTCACTACAAGCGTTGTTTCACTTTTCAAATTGTTGCCACCAAATATTATTGCCCTGTATTATGTTTAAAGAAATTAAATAATGAAGAATCTGCATAAATGTATGCATGTTTCTCGCATTGTGATAAAGCAACGGTACCTACAGCCATCAAATTTTGAATGACGTAATCCTACTGCAAATATGGGCATCTGGAAGACAAAATTTGAAATTTGGAATTTGTTTTATTATAGATTTCATATTTTGCAAAACTTTAACGAATTTTTGATTATCAAACTCAAGGGTTTCAAAGCGAGCGATGGCAACATTGTACAGAAAAAACATTTTCATCTCCAGCACGCGAGACTGTGTATCGGAAATTTTAAACATATGCTCGTTTTAAAATTGTGATATTGCTCTTGAACTGAATTTTATGGTTTAAGTACGAAGATCATGATATTTAATAAATAAAGGTAACACACAAAATGTTAAAAAAGCCCCTTTGGACACTTTGATGACAGAAAAAATTCTTTCGCAAGAATGAGGTTTTATTAACCCTTTTAGGACGGGCGTCCCATATACACATTCCCTAAGAACGTCTCTTACAGCCGAGCGTCCCATCCACGCATCAGTAAAGATCGCATTCAGAGGACGGGTGATGCGTATACGCATTTTAAGGTGGAGCGTTTTTCTGATTCACTAGATGGTATCCTGAGTCCATTACTTTTGAAATGAACACAGTTTTAGGTTCCTTACCTTTGATATATTCTGCTTGAGTTTGGTATTTTACTCATCAGCTGTACGAGGGTCGGGGGTGGAGGGAAAGTGTAAACAGAGGTGGGCTCTTTAAATCGCTGCGTGCTAATGAAAACATTCTTGTATCTCATTTATATCCAATTCCTTTCTTTATTTTATTTTTTCCCTCTACTATATATGGTCTTTTAGGGTTACTGTGCGGAGTTTTTTTACATTTTTCATCGCCTTCAGATATATTTCCGTTCTTTCTTTTTTTATTTAGGAAAGCCTCACCTCCAGTTTATTATGGCGGGAAGGCGCTATTTATCAGAGGAAGAATACCCTCGTATTGTTAGTGAACCATTTAACTAACGCAAATGAGAATACTGATTCATTTTCTAAAGAGTTAAAAAGTGATACTTTTTCTAAGAGTTACAAACTGATACTTCTCTGTGCTTCGAGATTTACCACACTCATTTTCATTTTAAATTTTGTTACTTCTTACTGTAAAAAGTCTTGTGTTCTTTTTATTAATTTTAAACTTTATTGACGGATTTTATCAATTAAAACTTTGTAATAATTTAAATAGTGCTTCCGAAAATTATTTTAGAAGATAAGCTATTTTTTAAGTATATTTTCATGTAAAATAAAGAAAAAAATGTTTTAAGGGCTAATTTTAACATATATAAGAGCTCAAGTAATAATCTAAAATGATACCAAAAATTACAATGCTAGAAGAGAAACTTTTGTTTTTCTGATTTTTGTTATAAAATTAGGCTTAGCAATGCAAAACCTCCGTCCTGTACAGTGACTGCCTTCGTTTCTCTTCCGTCCCGCACGAGCGTCTTAAACAAAGGTGCGCCGCCGCGAAAAGTTTAAAGCAACAAGCATTCCCAATAGGCAATACTTTCTATTCAATGGACCCATTCATATCTTTTAATTTTGCAATTTCTCCCAATGCTACAGCAATACTTAAATCCACAACTTCCATCAAATTATCTATTTGATACATAGAAAACTCTTCCACTTGACTAAGATACTTTTCATCAAATAATGGATGATGACCAACAAATGAATGGATGAAAATGAAACTTTAGTTGACATGAATTTTAGTTCAACAAGTTTTAGAAATGAATCATTTAGATGAAATGTACCTATTATATATAAACATACGCAGTTACCAAAAAAAAAAAAAAAAAAAAAAAAAAAAAAAAAAAAAATGCACTGAATTGAAAAATACCTTCATTTCACTTTCATTCAACTAGGGATTTTTTAAATATAATCTTGTTTCTGCACTAATCACTAAATTGTAATTTTCTTTTTGTTGAAATTTTCTTTTTGTTTACTACACTTCTGAAATGAAATAGATAATAAATTTGTAAAACCATCAGTAAACAAATTAATTCACTAACAGTACAAGTTCTCTCCCCAATAATTAAGAATCGAACAAAACAGCATTTAGGTTTCATCATCTTTTATGAAGAAATTTGTTACTTTTTAAAATTTTACAGCACCAGTTTCTTGATATTTTTGAGAAAATAAGTGCTGTTTACAGTCATTCTTTCCACCACGCGTAACTAAGTCTTTGTTGCAGACACTGCAATGTGCATGATTTCCGAAAATTTTAATGCTTTAATGTATGGAAATTATAAAGAATATAAATCTTTAAATTTCTGGTTTGATAATTTTAGCTTCTTAGTTTAAGTGGCATAATTCACAAAAACACTTTTACCTGAATCACAGTTCATAAGATACATGCATTACACTATCACAATTTGAATGAATGGAGCTGAGGTAGAGTAAACAAGTAAATGGGTAGAAAAACTGCGGCCAACAAATGACTACAAACTCCAAGTAAAGCACACATCATGCCTTACATTCAGATGTGAGGAAAACAATGTTGTAAATGTTAAGTGCAATTCAGATCTTTTAATTAAAACATTTTACAAACTACCTTGTAAGATAAAAAAAAAAAAAAATACAATCTCAGAACAGTACATCATAGAAAGTGGGGAAGAGGTAGAAAAATTGTGAAATATATAAGTATTCATAAATATTAAAATAAGCTAAATGTAAAATGGTTTTAATACATGCAATACATATGAGCAAAACTAGATTGAATTGACCTATACAGGTAAAACAAGATTTTATTTTAACAAAGTAGGAAATCTAAGTTAAAAAATACAGTCAAAACTCAATTACTTGAGGTAATTGGGATCATACCCACCTCATATAATCAAAAACTCTCTAACAGAGACTAATTTTAAATCATAGCATTTTTTAAGACAAACTTTGAGTCTGTTTATTTTAAACTCTTACTATTAATATTTAAAAAAACTCTTTTATTGGTAGATAAAATCTGTTCCCTTCAATTACATAAAAAGTCACATATTTTATCGCAGTACATCTGTATGCTTTGCTAATATCATCTTTGTTGTTTAGAATATGAGAAATAAGTTTTTCCCTTGCAAAAAATTGCTCCATAATTTCTATTATAGCTTGATCTAATAGTTGTATGACAGAACATATCAACAAGCAAAAAAATCACATTTGTTTCCATTGATTACAGCTTCTCTTCAACTGTATGGTCTTTTGCACGTTTTACCTTTTATACAGAATACAGATACTATTTATAGAGAAAAGAGATAATATTAATAAAAATAAATTATCTACATTTAAAAATTAACAATGAAACTACATAAAAATACTTTACACGAAAAGAAGAAACAAATATAAACAAATGCTCGGAGTAATAAAAGGTTTTTTATGTATTTTAAAAGATACAATGTGTGAATATTTACATGAAAGAACTTTGTGCACATCAAGGGACATTAAAGAAATACGAACACAAGAGCAACTGCGCATGTATAATAAATATTCTTTGATTTGATTGGCTTTGGGATTGGGATTTGAGCAGTTCAAGAATTTCTTTTTGAAAATCAACACTATATAAATTAAAAAATTGCATATTATTGAACAGAAGTCACAAAAACGAATAAATCAGTTGCTTAAATAGAAGTTCAATTACAGCTGATGAATTTTATAATTTTGCCTGGATTAGTAAATAGGCATATAAGAGTTATCAAAATAAGCAAAAACAAGAATAATATCACAAAGGAAAAAATCAAATTGATATTTATTTTCTATATGAAATGTAATGTTTGATACCTGTAAGACTTTTTTTCTTGGTTACGCTTCCTAAATATACTAACGGCTTAGACTGATATTTCTTTTAAATAATTCAAATAAATTTAATTAATCAATTAATTAAATAACTTACTTTAGTTTAAACTAAATTATGAAAACTTTGCGAGTTTTTCAGATAAAATTTACAAAGTGATATAAAACTTGAGAAAAAATAACAAAAACCTAGTCTTTTACGCTTATGTCTTAAATTTTTCTTCAAAACGTAAATAAAAATGTTTGTGTTTGTACGTATTTATAAGCTTCCTTGTTTCTTACTATAGTTTGACACTTGATAGCATTTTGATTCTGATAAAGTTTGTAGCTTTGTAGAGAAACTAATAGACATTATCTTCTATCTAAGGATTATCAGTTCGAGTCAACTGGGTTCTTTCTTTATTAATATGGATCTGAGAAAAAAAGCTGTTCACCATATAAATGTATTCCCTAATCATATCTTCAAATTTTTTAATAAAATTTATATTACATTATAAATTCAATTAGCTTCATTTAGAGATTTTCTGCTGCATATTTATGTTTGTTTTTAATGGAAATTAAAATATAAATTTGGACTTCAAATAACTAAAATATTAACCCTTTGGTGGTTGCAAGATTAAGCAATCCTCTCATCCCAAATACCTGTGGCATCTGTCAGTCATAAATTTGTAATGCAAGCTGAGCTCATTGATCACCATGAAAAGGTTAATATGGAAAAAAAACATTTTTTTTCTAACCTTCTTCCAATCCTAATTGGTAAGCTAAATTTTGCAGATCTCTCACTTTTTCAAGTAATGCTGCTGCAGTCAGGCTTCCAAAACCTAAAATTAAATGTATTCCATATTTAATATGCCTAAATATGCCATAACAATAATAAAAATTCTAACTAAGACATACAAAATGCTCGCATATAAATACACAGGGTGCCTCAATACCAAGGCTTGTCAATAACCCACAAAAAGATGGAAAGTGAGTGCCAGTTTCAGAGCATTGACAAACTGATAGTGAAATCTAGATAAATAAACAAAAAGAGCATATATCAAATGCATTTAAATAGTACTTTGTAAAAAGTGCTTTATAGCATATCCCCCATAAATACACAGTTTATATTCATTTCTGTTATTTATTTAAACAAACTAGAAGCTTTAAGAAATAAATCCCACATGATTAAGACATATGGGTCTAAATCTATATAATAAACATTTGTCACAGAGTTTTCCAGAGCCGCCCGGTTTAGTGGTTAAGGGAGCCTGACTGTGATACCGAAGGGCCCGGATTCGAATCCCAGAGACGAGATGGATGTAAAATTGTCTGTCCCTTCATAGAAGGTAGCAGTGGCTGCCCATTAGATGCTCCACAATAAAATGGCCACCATTTCTGGCCTTAGTAGTGGCCAATGCTGTTATAGGCAAGTGCCCCGCCATTGGAAAAAAAGAGTTTTCTTGAAAACCCCAAAAAAGGAAGATCCTCAAAACTTTCAATGGGATTTTAAGCATGTCTCTATTAAAATTTGAATTTAAATGTCAGGGTGGAGGGCTAAAATACAAAGGAAATATATCACAACTTGAACCATTAACAGATGAAAAACAAAAGGCAAATTTTCCTCATTTATTAAAGTTACGAGACTTTTTTAATAACTTTTTTACGAGAACACTCATAACTCTTTTATTTATTATTTTACTCTCTAAAACTCTTTTGTTTATAATTTTAAGTGTATGACCAATTCAAATACTTTTGAAAAAATATAAGGGATGATTAAAAATATCTGAAAGGGTTTAGATTTTAATGATTGCCCAAACGGAATGGCTTATCAGTAGACACTATTAATAGCCATAGCCCAGCTGGAATAGTGAAACATTTTAATTGATATTAAATGCATATGCATTTAGACTAATATGCGAATGTTACTATTATCTTCTGTATATTTAAAAAATGAAAAATATGCAATGTAATTCTATAAAAATATTTAATGTTTTTAATCCTTCAATCACACAATTAAGAAAATGATAAAAAAAACACCTTATTTTTAATTCAAGAAAATTGTTTAAAAATAAGTGTATGAACAATATATGTAGTCATTTTAAATTTTTGGAAATTTTTTATCTCAAAAACAAGTTTATTTTTCACACACACACACAAATCAGGGTTAAAAAATTGTTAAATAGTTTATTCTTTTAGGAGCTATCTTTTGAACACTTCGGTCCGGAAATATCAAGGGCATGAGAACTATTGACCCCCCTGTAATTTTGATAGCAGTGAGAAGAAAAGGATTAATTAATTAGCTGTATCGTGAATTAAATTCATTTTTATTTAAATCAATCAGATTAAAAACTAAAAAAATTAAGAATTGCATCTATTGCTTTTAAATAATTTGTTAATTAATAACAGACAGATTTAATATGAAAGAACAATATCTTATGTGTTTCAAATGGTAACAGACTTGAATGAAAATGAAACAATGCATTAAAGTGAAAAAAATATACTTGAAAAGGGAAAAAATATATACAATGTAATTCTATAAAATTGCTTAATGTTTTTAAATAGATATATCACAAATTACATACAATTTTAATTAACTGAATAATATTCAAAAGTAAACAAATACTTTTTTTAAGAACTGCATCTATTGCTTTTGAATAGCTTAGTTAGTTTATCAATAACAGACTGATTAAATTAAAAAAATAACTATCTTAAATTTTGCTGAATGGCAACAGATTTGAATGAAAAGTGAAAAAAATGCAAAATCTTGGGCTTAAAAAAAATTCTTGTAAATGAACTAATCAACATATTTATTTAAAAATTTTTTTTCTTTGTAACACTATTAATTTATTTAACATATTTCAACTTTGAAGTTAATATATAAGTCATCAATCAACCTAAATTAGAAATTAAAAGGAAATTCCCATTTTAACATTTATTAACATGGTGCTGAATTTAAATGTGTAGTTGTGATACTAGTGCACATTTAAATTAGAACATTAAAAAAATTGTTATTGTTCATAAACTAAATTTTCATAAGCATGATGCATAATTAAAAGATGATTTTGTTTTAATAATATCATTCTAATACCCACCCTGTAAAACACTGATATCTTCATGATCTAGATCTCTTAGCCATTCAGGTTGTTGAACAGGTTTATCATCATTAGGAGACTGAAATAATAAATTTACAATATGTAAAAAAAATTCTTTAAAATAATTCATTTAAAATTATACTGAATACATGTATTTACTTAATACATTTGCAATCACATTTTGAAGTGCTTTTTAATGATTTTTAAATATACAATTTTTAAATTAAAAGTATAGTTCACTAAAACCACTTAATGGAATATAGTAGTTAATTCACAGCAAGCAGTAGTAATAGCTATATTTAATATATTAAATAACATAGTATTAGTTAAAAATAAAATTATAAATACACAGCACAACAGCACAAAGCAGTAAATACAAATTTCTTTTGATAAGTACAATGAGAACTTGATCTTCATACGGGTGCTTATCTAGCTTTTGATATTGCACTTTCAGCCCTTTTAGTTATAACCAGAAATCATACTATTGATTAACAATCAATAGTTTTAATACGTTTTATCATATGGTTATAGAGTCTCATATTCTTAAGGTAGCATAAACTAATGAGCTCTAGAAAGATTGTATAAGAAATTATCCTCAGGTCTTAGGATAACAGACAAACAAAGTCAGAAGAAAGGTGTTAAAGAATCCTTTATTCAATCACAGATGATTGCACAGACGGCCTCTTCTAGCTTAACTTAAACAAGTAATGTTGAACTCAAATTGCAATTAAACTAGCCTAATGGCTTAAGGATAATTTAAGTGCACATGAAGGCTTTGGACTCCCAGAAGACGGCAGAAACAAGCTTAATAACAGCTAGAAGCACTCCATGCCACAGAATCAGATCGCTAGCAAGTCAAAGTAACATTGTGGCTTTCAAGCAGGCATTAACACACTCTAAAATCACCTTCCAAAACCTTCCCTTAAATAGCATCTCTTTCTCCCTTAATATGAATAACCACTATCACTATTTCCTTAAGGAATCCAAGCTATAATTAGCATTCTAGCAAGTAAGTGGGGGTGAAAAGGAAAATAAAAGGGTACTGTTAACAAGTGATATATCATCTGATATTTTTAGGCACATTTATGTTTCTAGCTTTAAAAACTGTTTTCTGGTGCAAGATGGAAACAAGATTTTACAAAGCAGAATAAATTTTTATAACTAAGCACTACTACACTCTATCAGAAAAGTGTATTGCAAAATGTTTGTGAACCTAACAATATGATGATTTTGCTTTTAAGTAAACTGATTTTAAGAAAAGGTTAACTCTAAGAAATAAAGTACCTGCTTATCTTAGAAAAGATGGGTGGGTACTTCATTTCGGATAAAATGGACAAGTAGGAATAAAATATAATCATCATCAAAGAGCATGACAAAGTTGGAATCAAAATCAAAGTCATGCATTAAGAGTAATGCTCACTCATAAAATAGACTTTTGTCACTTTTGTTTGGGGAAAACTCATCCCTGCACCAAAGAGTAGTTTTTAAAGCTAACAGCATAAACTGAAACTGAAATTTCAAGCAGTGTATTACTTCTAACAGTACAGTGGTATCCTCTATTGAAACAATTTGCCATAAAGATCCATTTTGGAATTTCCACTTTTATTTTTATTTATTTATTTATTTATTTTTTTAAGTTTGATATGCACAACTTTTGCATTATGCACTACATTTAAACATATTATATAATACTATGATATATGCACAGCATTAATTCATGCATATACTACATACAACATATTAAATGGAAAGAGAAACATAACAATGTAAAACTTAAAATTAATAAAAACTGTAATTTTATTTCGATGTAGATTTAAAATAAAATTCTATTGATATTGAGGGTGATCAGATACCAGTCTCTTTTCTTCAGAAGCAAAAACATTCTGCAAAGTAGGAAGAAGCACAATCCTATTTTTTTTTATCAAAAACAATATGCAAACAAAGTGAATATTAACATAGCACCATCTGTCAAAGAAAATAGCGCAGAAACATAAAATATTAAGATATTACAGTTTTAAAAGCATTAAGAAGGACTAAAGACCATAAATTTTTGTTATGTGAAAAGGTTCAAGGAAATCCATTTCAACTGAAGCACAATTTTTGCAGACCCAAAGTCAAATTTGTGATTTCAAGCTGAAATCAATGGCTATTGAAAGAGATTTTTCTCTCATGGTCTTTGATAAAGCTTTTGGAAGTTTTAACTCTTGCCATCAAAGAAGACATTCCATTGTTAGAAATGACATTAATAAACTTATCATTCTATCAGTTACAAAATTATATGAATTCTCCAGAAGTTTTACTTTCAGGTCATTTTTTCCCCTACCATTAAAATTTGCTGCTCAAATCTTGAAGATTCTATCTCTGACTTCTGTTCTTAGGAAATATATAGCATATCTTGTCAGGGTGATTTGTGATATATCAACCAAACAAAACGAGTTAAAATTTCGGGCCACAAATACAAATCTTATGTCCAAAAAAGAGAGCTAAAAATGTTTGACAGATAATCATACTTGGAATATTAATTACAGTTTTGATTTTGGTCTGAAAATTATCCTTAAAGTTTTTTTAGTTGATGAACTGGATTTCTTTAAAACATTTCACATTCAAAAATGTATCTTCTTTAGTTATCACACTAATTCCAATTTAGTCTTTCCTTATGCTTTTAAAATTTTAATACTATTGATTTACTTTCAAAATTCTAATTTTTAATATTTCACTATTTTTTGTTCGCTTTGCTCTACTCACTGTTTTTGATTATAAGTGTGGTTGTCGTTAAGCTTGCTGTTTTGCCTAATTAAAAATAAAAGACATAATTTTGTTTTCATGCAACTTGGTAACTAATAAGTAAAATACTACTTATGATTTTCTACAGCCAGCACATCTACAAGTTAAAGGAAAATCTAGATTTTGACTTCTATCTAGAATGACTTCTGATAATGTTCTGATCAAATAAGCAACAGACATTTACATAGACTTTCCATAATTGACACTGCACTCTCTTCCTTGTCATTTAAATTGAATTGATATTACTCAGTTTATAAGCTGTACTTCTCTTAAATGTAAGTTTTCAAAATACTTGAAATATTTCTATTAATGTAATTTCTAGGTCAAATATTTAACAATTATTACTTTCAGAGTTTTAAGTCTTTTGTTAAATATTCATATACTGCTTGTATACTGATAATTCACACCCATGCAATGAGCATGCATGAGGGATAAGAACAACAAGATGATAAGCAAACTGATAGCAGTTCTTTTCTAGTATTAGATGCATTCTGAAGATCCACTACAATAAAAGGGATCTTCTTTGAGAAGAATGATGTACATAAAGGCCATATCCATCCCTTAAGGAATCCAAGTTTATGCATGTTAACAGTTTATGCTAATACGGTAATGTAACCTACATCACCCCACAAAATGCAGAACTGGTTAAATGAACATTATACTAACTTCCAGGTTTTCTATCAGTCTCAGTATTCACTAGATTAAAGCTATATTGAATGCTTACTAGCTAAAGCAAGCCTTAGGGCAATTTGGAACATACAAGGTGCTCAGTGGGCACCACAGAATATTATCAACTTCACATACCCTATAACGACTCCAACACTTTGCTGCGTTAATGCAATGCACAGTAATCACAATTATTAAGGCATATTAATTAGGAATGTCCAATGTTTTACCACTTCATTTTATATCACAACTAAAATTATAATAATGGTTTCTCCCAACAGTAAAACTTTGAGAAAATAAATCCTCTAGGAGTTTTTAAAAAATATTATGAATTATAATATAAACTCATTCTTATATATCAATATAAACTCATTCTGAACTTTTTTCTTAATGATAAATAATTGGTACTTTTGGCTTAGCTGGACACATTCTGTGGCTACGCTTTAGGATTACTTGTACAAGTGAACAGAACAAAATGGCAGTTACCGAAAAAAACAAATCTGAAAACATTCATCAACATACAACAACAACAACAAAAAGTATTTACTTTCATGAATAGACAAAGATAAAATTTTTATATTTATTTGATTATTCCATTCTTCCAAAATATGCAAATGCTTTTCTTGCTGCAGCAGGTAGAAACATTGCAACGCCATCTAACTATGATAGAAAAATATGGTTTCATTTCATGATTTTGATTACATGTTGAATTTGTTGCCAATCTCTCTCTTTTTTTGAAAAAAAAAAAAAAAGAGGCTCCCTCCACTTCATGGTAAATCCCAAACTTTCATCATTTCTAAATATCATATTTGCATAACAGTAAAATTAGATGCTGCTTGCTTTAAAAAAAATACTGGAAATGATGGTGAATGATTTCCATCAGGTCTGCAAGCAAGTCAGCACAGGTCTAAATTATTTGGCAACTTTCTGCTATGGCTAACCGATAGATACTAGATAATCTTTCTGAATCACCTGATTAATTGAGGATAACACTGAGATTAAACTCACTAGTCTTTAAATTATTTCTTATGTGTTGAAAGATGCTATCAACAAAAAGTAACAAAATACCAGAGTATTGTGTAGTATAGACCGAAATCTTAATATAAAAAATTTTCAGGATTCACAAAGTTCAAGCAACATGGATAATACATATCTTTAATTTGAGTAAAGTTCCATACAGTTAGAGAAGCAAAGATTATCTGAAAGTGATTATACCCACCAGTTAAGCAAATCAGTGGATGGCAACTATACCAAGGGTGAAAAACCTGCTTCGAATTAGGGCAAAAGATCGCATATTTTTCACTAAAATAAGATTTTGTAAAGTAAATAATTTCATTTTGTTTTATACATTTATGTTTGCCTTTTATATATTTTTCTTTAAATAATTGTTTAACCCGGCGGAAGCCGCACCAAGAAAAGTTACTAGAGTGGGCGCGTGGGGTATCACATACCCCAATATTTAAAATACAATAAAAATAGTATTATTTAGTTTTAAAACTTTTTTTTTTTTTTTTTTGTTCTCGTGTATTATAAATAAGTGAATAATTATTGGGTTTCAAAAATTAATTTCCGAAATAATCTTAGAGTTAGAATTAAGATAAATGAAAATAATAAACATCATGCCTCTAA